GTGGGGTGCAGCCTCACTCCAGTGTCTGCCTGTGTGACTGCCCTGGGGGCACCACACTTTGGAGCAGCTGGCACAAGAACCGCGCTTTGGACCGGGACACAGCATATGTTCCATCAAAGGAGAGAGTCTGCTGATCATGGGGGTGTATGAAGTGTGAGGGTCCAAACCTCATTTTGGGTACAGGGGGCCCTTTATTCAAATCTTCTTTAAAATACAGGCCTCTGGTAGGCACTCTGAATATGCTCGTGGCATCAGAACCAGTGTTTGGACCAGGCATCACTGTATGTCTTCTTGCAGGGGACAGTCTCCAGAGTGTGGTGATATGTCCAAAGATTGTTTTGGGGTGCAGCCAGGCCTCACTGTTTGCCTGTGTGACTTCCCTGGGGGCACCTCACTTTGGAGCGGCTGGCACAAGAACCACCCTTCGGACCAGGACACAGCATATGTCCCCTCAAAGGGGAGAGTTCACTGAACATGGTGGTGTATGACATGTAGCAGTCCAAACCTTATTCCAGGATGTAGTGGGCAAACAGTCAAACCAGTTCCTTATTCAAATCCTTTTTTTGAAATACAGGATTCTTGGGGGCAACCGAAATAGAAGGCTGTGGCTCCAGAACCAGTATTTGGACCGGGCTCCACTGCATGTCATCTTGCAGGGGATAGTCTCCAGAGCATGGTGATGTGTCATTTGGGGTGGTCCAAAGATTGTTTTGGGGTGCAGCTTGGCCCCAGTGACTGCCTGTGTGATTGTCCTGGGGGCACTGCACTTTGGAGCAGCTGGCACAAGAACTGCACTTTGGACCAGGACACAGCATATGTCCCCTCGAACGGGGGAGTTCGCTGAACATGGGGGTGTATTAAGTTCGGGTGTCAAAATCTTATTTTGGGGTTCAGAGCTTCCAAACTCTCCTCAGTTGTTTTGGATGAATTCATGAATAAGAAGTGAATAAGGAATGAATAAGGAACTGGGAATAAGGAACCAACTTCAGCCTCGTCTACTGCTGTAGGAAGTCATTTCCTTCTTTCTCTCCCCCCCCCCCAGTGCCCCCTCCACGATTTCTCAGCCGACTTTGGCCCTTCCTTCTTGCTACTGTGATAGCACTGTCTTTTTGACTGAGAATCCTGATTGTGTTTCTTCCCGACAACAAAAAAGTCCCGTGCCACCCAAAAAGATGAGCAACTTTATTGCGATATGAACTTACTAAAATAAAAGCTTAAATTTGTTTGGTGCCTATTTCCTCCAATGATGTTATGAAAAAAGATATTCGTTGTGTCGGATTTCCAGTTTCTTCAGATTTGTTCGTGTTCTCAAAGGGGCCATGGCAAGGAAATCATTTATTTCTCCATGTGCAGAACCTATAGAATGTTGGTGATTTTAATGGCACGTATCAAGTGATCCATGAATCTCACAGAGCAGGACGTTCCCACCTCCCCCTCCCACTACAGTGCACTGAGCCCCTGCTGAAATTTTGTCCCTAGCATTCCGTGGAACCTCTGCAACAGCATAAGGGGCAAGGTGGGGTTGTGCTGTAGGAGGGCAGAGTTGGTGGAAATCTCCACTCCCTCTTCTAAAGACTTAAGAACATGTAGATATTTTTTTCTGTAGAGGAGCAATCAGTGAGCATCTACAGTCTGAAGTGGTACAGCCAAGATAGATTTACCACCTTAGTGAGAACTAAGCCAGCTAGGCTTTTTAAAAGAAATTCAATTAACAACCTGCCATTTCTTTTTGCACTAGGTAATGGAAATGTATCTTCCATTCTGTGGGATTGCTATCTCTAATGCTCAGCTGTTTGCTGCTTCCAGGAAGGAGTACGATAGAAGCAGAGTAAGTTTTTTTTTAAAAAAGGAACTTGGACCCTCCCAATTATTTTTGTATTTTTCTTTCCTTCATTTATCAGCTGTTCATAATCACATGCAACACCATTTGTAGATGAATCACCCCTTATTTCCCAACAATTCACTTGATAACCTTGGTCAGTGAACATTCCACAGGAAAAAATACACTTAATGCAGACAGCTTTGCAGATCAGTGTTTGTGTTTTACTGTCAACTCCACATTTTGCTCTGCTAACCAGAGTGAAGAACTTCTTGTGTGAGGGATCAATTGGATGATATATGTGACACGAGTTCCTTTAGGGGTTCCCCAACCTGATTCCTGTCACACATAATGTCAGGGAACTAATGTTCCCAAATGCTGTGGGGCCAGATTAGGCGGCAAAGTGTGGCATGGGGGAAGGAGAGGTTTCAGTCTTCCTTCTGGTGCCATTTTCCAGAACTGAAATGGCAGGGGAGGGGCTGTTTGCCCACTCCTGTAAGACACGTTTTATTTATTTATTTATTTATTTATTTATTTATTCTTTAGATTTGTATCCCGCCCTACCCCGAAGGCTCAGGGCGGCTAACAAGATTAAAACAGAAAAAACACATAATATAAAACAGTAAAATACAATAACAAAATCTCAGTGCTCCAGTTGTCACAAGATGGGGTAGATCTTAGTCTCGACGGTAACATTCCCAAAGTCTGTCCTCCTTTTCCTGCCAGGGGCACCTTGCACCTCAAAGGGACCAGATGTGGTAGTGGTGATGGTGCGACGGTGCATAGATGGCAATGATGTAGTGGTGGCGGCGGCTCCTACTCGAAAGCTTGGCGGAAGAGCTCCGTCTTGCAGGCCCTGTGGAACTGAGAAAGATCCCGCAGGGCCCGGATCTCCTCCGGGAGCTCCTGCTCCGGGAGAAGATCATGGAGCCCCACCATGAGGCAAATGTCCCCCCCCCTCGTGCGCAGCTCTTTCAGCTTTGGAAAAATTGATGCAGGAGGGAAGACTGAGGCACCTCACTGCCCCATGCTGTACTCACCAGCCAAAGCTGGCCCTGCAGTGCTTGATGTTATCTGTGACACAGCCTAGCATCTGTTACATGTATTGTCTAGCTAAGCCCTAAGAACCTGAATTTAAGTAAAAGATCTTATAAATGTTTATTCAGGAGTTGGCCCTGGTGTATTCAGTAGCACTTTCATGCTTTGAAATGTGCACAGAATTTGCCTTGCAAATGCAAACAGCCACATTTGATTTTTCAGAGCAGAGGAAAATATGAATTGGCTATCACAAAGAGTCTTTTAATGGTTTGATATGTTGCTTATGTAAAATCTCTATTCCTCATTAACAGGGTTCAGAGTACCTAATTGTTCTGTTTTTGCTTGGTGTTTATTCAGTGATATGGTTGAATTGTAATACCACTCCAATATGCAGAGGAACGGAAATAATAGGATCATACTGAAGTGTGGGGTAACTCCATAGACTCAGTTGACTGCTTCTCGGAATTAATTTGACATATTATATTAAAACATGTGGGACGCGTAAGAACTGAGGAAAAACCTCCAACTTGCATTGTGCAACACAGAAATCAGACAGCAGAATCTGAAAGTACAAAACTGTGACATTATCCTAAGTAATGTCTTGCATCTGTGATTATTGAATTGTAGTGAAAGGAAATTCAGTGGTTTCACTGTGACGCACAACTATACAGCTTTAACAGAGGAATCCTAAATTCCCACTGCCCCAGTGATGACAATGTGCTGCTAGCATAGACTTAAAACAGTGATACTCCATGGCTCAGAAGCTACCTGTGGTTCTTCTGAGCTCCATTGCTGAATGTGGGCCCACCTTGAAATGCTGGAGGGACTGGAGGATGGGTGAGCCATGACCCTCCCTGAGATATGCACCTCATGCCAGGGATGGAAGTTAAAAAGCTAGTCCTCTCCACCCCCACCCCCTTTCTCTGCGGCCACCACAATTTCATCCCAGTACCCAGGCAGCTACGAGGAGGACAGTAAGCTGTCTGCAGAAAAGAGAAAAACCACCCATATAGAGGCTACCTGGACCCAGTGGGGGGTGATTTTACTCCCCTTTCTCCACAACCAGCTTACTCTCCTCTGCACCCTGGCAAATTGCCTTACTTGAGCTAATGTGCCTCATGCTGAGAGAAGGAGAAGGCAGAGAGGGAAGCCCTTCCCCACACTTCAGATACACAAGCATTGGCTAAGATTGAGGAGAGACAATCCTACATGCTCAAAGGTACTCTAGTCTTAATCTCTCTATATAATAATTCTGTTTTTGAGTGGCAACATTCCATGCACTCCCTCAGCCGTTGGGCCGTCAGCCACCACTCAAGAGTACTCGCATGCCATTGGCTAGGTGCTGGGTCTGCTCCTCTTCCCTGCCCACTCCCCCTTCAGCCAATGTGCCCTGTCAGAATTACTGGCAACCAGCTTTCTCTCTTGACAAAGACGCTTTTCCTGCTTGCCTCCTGTGTGGGACTAACTTTCCCCTCAGTGGCTGTTGGTAGGTGTCACGAAATGGCAGTTACATGTGTTTGTAAGATGGCTGTGGTTCTTTGTTTAAAATGTTCCCCCATAAGATTTAATTGAGCTGTAGTTCCAGAGAGGGGCTTGCAGGGGTATCACTCACTGGGTTGGATGGGGCTTCTTCATCTGCTGGCCTACAGTTCCCAGCTGCCCCAAGGCCAAAAAGTGTGGGAACACAGGGACTGTCCCAAGGCAGTCTTCGTCCCTTGGAGGCAGCAGAAATTCAGCCACTTCACAGTCGGCTGGACTGGGGAATGAATGGAAGTTTCCCTGCTCTCTTGGGCAAGAGAGACAGGCTGAAGAGAGGCCAGAGGCCAGTCCAAGGAAAGATACTATCTTGAGCCCACAACCTCCAGAGGTAGAGAGTATTGTGTGTAGGAAAAGAGGATTGCGTTTAACCCCTGTTGATTTATGCCTTGTTGGTTCATAGTGTGTGCTTACTCCTAGAGTGTGTGCGCTCCATAACTGTGTAAATAGTTAAATAAATTCTCTAATTTGGGCTAATAATCTGTATTGTGCTCTGACCACATAGTCTCCCCTGCTCTTCCAAAGGGAAGGGGTAGCCCACGGAAGCAAGGAAAGGCCATACCCTTGGGTTGCCAACTTTCCAGGGATCCCCCAAAGATTGGGGATTCCATCTCCATTTGTGTGAAACACTGAAGTGGCTTTTGTTCCTAGTCTCACTGGGAACTAACAAACAGAACATTTCTCTTTGAGTTCACTGAAGCTGGGCTGGGGTCTGTGGTAAGGACAGCTGCCATTTCCTTTCTTCTGCAGCTGAATTTAATTTGCAAGAAAGAAAATCAAGATAGTATAAAATTAATAACTGCTGGATACAAAAATTCCACAGGCATTTATGCATTACCTGGCTTTCCATCCCCATATGTGCAGGCCTTGCTAGAAGTGGTTAATGATCTCTTTGAAGAACAGACAGACTTAGAGAAAATTGTGAAGAAAATTATGCACCGAGCCCAAACTCTGCTGAAGTGTGAGCGTTGCTCGGTATTGCTTCTTGAGGACATTGACTCTCCCGTAAGTAGTCTTTTTTGAAAATATATCATATGTTAAAGTCATGTGCTTTTGCTTGTCTGTCAATCATGTTCTGTGCTCTGTTGTTTTACGGCTCTTGTTAACGATATAACATTTTTGTTAAATGTACCAACGTTTCCCCACTTTTTTAATTTTTTCTTAAATTTGACAATATGTATTTAGTACAACCAACAAATACACAAGCATGAAACATAATACAAAAAAACCCCCCCATAACAAACAACAAAGACAATTGGAATAGAAAGTAAAAAAGCAATACCAAACCTCAGATCTTACAAATTCTAAACATCCTTAATATGGCATTTCAGTTAAGTACTTAGTTTTTTTGGAACCATTCCATCTGCATCAAGTAGTTCAATATCATTGGCCACAGTTCTACAAAATTTGAGTTAGGAGGATTATTTTCAAACTGATTCATCTTATACGTAATTCTTTCCATTATGTATATCTCCCATACCTTATGTTGCCATATATGAAACATAGGTGCATTTGGGTGCATTTCCAACTAGCTACTATAGGTGTTTGGGCAGCTATTAGAAGGTATGAGATCCACTCTTTTCTAATATTTGGGACTGTGCTATCCTTCCAATAATTAAGAAACAATATATCTGGTGTGAATGGGAAAACAATCCCCCATTATAAGGAATATTTGTTCCAAAATTATCTTCCAGAATTGTTCAATGTACCAGCTTTGAGCATATCTGCAGAGTGGTTTCATCTTCCCAGGGAACCTGGGCACTGTAGTTTTGTAAGGGGCTAGGGATTTCAAAACAGAATTTTGGGCAACCTCACTGAACTACGATCCTCAGGATTATTAGGAAGACAGCCCTACAATGATTAAAGTGGTATAAAACCAACGTAAAGTTGTCATGTAGACAGGTCCATAGTAGTAGTGCTGAATTTATTTTACTCTGAGTTTTCTACAATGCAGTTTACTAATCTCAGTTGAAATATACACCAAGTAGATGGACACATGACTCTAAAGCCGCAATCTGTTTGATACACTTTACTGGACAGTATTGGTCCATGTTGGACGAAATGTTTTGCCTGTGCTGGCTTATTCTATTAGGACAGACTTGAGTCTGATTTCGTATCATTATGACCGTTTATACTTATCCTTTGTAAGGAGATATTGAATACAGGTGACAAATTAACAGTGCCATCCTATGCTGAATTGCTCCAGTTTGATTTCATTGCAATCATTGGGCTTAGAATGGAGTAATTCTGCATAGGTTTGCACCCTAGAGCAGCGAGTATCTTTCTTGCTGCACACGTTGGATAGTGCATTGAGAATGCACTATAGCAGTTATCTTTAACTGGATCTTCCTGTTTAACACAGGAAAATCCAGTTGCAGATTATTGCTGTAGTCTATCCAGAGTGTACTGTCTAACAAAGTCTGAAAGCAGCCGTTGTTTTCACACAGAATGTTTCCATCCAGAAATAATGGAAGTATCCTAAGTAGGCCAGCTCTCATTCCAAAATGGCGCCCTTTGAGAAAGTCAGTAAATAATGTAGACATAAGTACTTCTGACAAATTAGCCAGAATTTTGCCCTGTGCTGGAGCAAGACATTTCGTGGAAGGGAAAGCTGAAAGCTGCAGGGCTAATTATGTGTGTTACTAGAAATAAACAATTCACCCATGACTTGGATGTGTGGCGTGGAGCTGATTTTCAGCATGGTAAGTGCACTTCTGAAACTACTGATTCTCTTTTAAAATGTGAGGCTGTTGAAGCCTTTGCGTGCAGGTTTTGTCAGAGGGAAATAATGATGTAACTCCTTGACTTCTTGGGTCCATTTATATCATTGTTTTGATTGCTGGGGAGGAAGGGACACACTACAAGTTGCTGCTCCATGCCTGTAGTAGGATTAGAACTCTCTTGGGAAAGCTCCAGGGCCAAGTAAGTGGGTTTAAGCACCACTTCTGTGGTGTGGGCTAACAGCCACATCCAGTCTGGTGAATTCAGCTGCACACAACAAGACTGTCTCTCTCTAATTTCTAGGATTGCCACTCCTAAACCAGTCCCATTTCACCACATCTTTAGGTTTCCCAAGAGGGAAGAATTGATTAAATGTTTCCTGGTGTACTGGTTAAGAGCGGCAGGACTCTAATCTGGAAAACCAGGTTTGACTCCCGACTCTTCCACATGAAGCCAGCTGGGTGACTTCGGGCCAGTCACAGTTCTCTCAGAGCTCTCTCAGCCCCAGCTACCTCTCAGGGTGTCTGTTGTAGGAGAGGAAGGGAAAGTGATTGTAAGCCATCCTGAGACTCCTTCGGGTAGTGAAGGGTGGGGTATAAAACCAACTCTTCTTTTTTTTTCCCCCTGTTGCAATATTGCAGTTTTCTTCTCCTATTTCAAGGAGAGGAGGCATGCCCAGACGCTTGTTACCACTTTCCAGCATGGAGTGTGTCCTCAATATTTATTTATTTCCTTCCTTTACATCCCACCTTTCTCCCCAAGGGGGACCCACGGTGGCTTGCATAATTCTCCTCTCCTCCATTTTGCCCTCACAAGAACCCTGTGAGGTAGGTTAGGCTGCGACTATATGACTGGCATGGCAAGCTTCCATGGCAGAGTGGGGATTCAGACCTGGGTTCAGCCAGTTTGGTGTAGTGGTTAAGTGCGCGGACTCTAATCTGGGAGAACCGGGTTTGATTCCCCACTCCTCCATTTGCACCTGCTGATGTGACCTTGGGTCAGTCACAAGCTCTGGCACAACTGTCCTTGAAAAAGAGCAGTTTGTGTCAGAGTTCTCTCAGCCCCACCTACCTCACAGGGTGTCTGTTGTGGGGAGGGGAAGGGAAAGGAGTTTGTAAGCCGCTCTGAGACTCCAAGTGAAGGGCAGGGTATAAATCCAATCTCTTCTTCTTCTTCTCACTACACCACACTGGCTCTCCAGTATCTGTTGGAATAGTGCTCCTGCAGACATAGGACTAAATCTTAGGACTCCCTTCCCCCAAGTTTTCCAACAGCAGATAAAGACTCCCACATTGAGGCAATAGTGTGATAGCTCCAGTTTAGTCCTTTTAGCTTCTAGGGAGAGTTCAGGGGCTTGATTTGATCAAGAGCCCACTTATTTGTCTTTGGTGGTCCATGGTAACCATAAAATTGTTCTCCAGCAACACATTTTCGAAGAAATTGGCTTTGTTTACCTACAGCAGGGCGAAGAATACACAACATGAGCTGATATTTTTAGCCCTTATTACACTTCTCCATTCTGCTGCCTGCCCAGTATTATTGTTTCATCCAGATAACTTGTTTATATTCACCACAGTTCAACATCTTGACAGGCCAATTTCTTTTTTGAGAAATAAAATTGATACAGAGTACAGTGAATTCTTTTTGCCCTGACCTGGCTAGCCCAGTGATCTCATCAGATCTTGGAAGCTAAGCAGGGTCAGGCCTGGCCAGTGTTTGGACGGGAGACCACCAAAGAACACCAGGGTTGCAGCGCATAGGCAGGCAATAGGCAAACCACCTTTGAACATCTCTTGCCTTGAAAACCACACCAGGGGTCATCATAAGTCAGCTGTGACTTGAAGGCAAAAGCAAAATAAATACATAAATGGTGAATCTGAATTATTAGTTTGGGATTCCACAGAATCCGGGTTTTGTTAAAACATCCATGCTCTGTGTGGTTGGAAATGTGCCCGTTAAGGCCACAAAATTAACTATAGCCCATGTAGTCCTTGATGCAGGGGAATATTTCAGAGCCCTTCTTTATTTACTGACACTCTACAGCCTGATTGGTATATGCAGCAAAATGAGTATGTCAGAATGGATTGACTACTTCTAGCTGCACCCGGACATAAATTTCTTGTGGCTGTTGTAGCAAATCTGTCTTTGTGTACAACTGTGAAGAGAATAACATTTGTTCTAGTGAACACAGACCCCCCCACCCCGGTTACTCATACAGTAGCTTTATATGTGTTGGCAGCCAAGAACATGCATGTAAAAGTTGTGTCTGAAAGCATACTTTTTAGAGCATGGAATATTTTAACATTTATAGTGGTACTTGGGGCTTGAAGGCAAGGGAACCCCATTTGCCACGTTGATGCCCACTCACCCATCCTCGACAGATCCCTTTGTAACACCTCACAATCCTCCCTGGTTTTTACCACACAACAATTTCGTGTCATCTGCCAATTTAGCCACTTCACTGCTTACTTCCAACTCCAGATCATTAATGAACAATTCCCTGATATGCTAGTTTTTCCCTTTCAAGGTGCCTTTTATTTTAGTGCATGGAGCATTTTAAAATGCAATTCTCAGCTGCATTCTGACCATTTTCCGCTTTAGGGATCTGCTGTTTTCTTGTTCTGCAGTGGTCTCAGCATGTCCCAACTTTTGATAGCATCAACAATAACAAAACATGTAAGCCCCTGAAACAAAAAAGTGTTTTGAACCTGAAACTTCAAGTGTTTAAAGGCAGATCTTCCTGCGTTGGGGTTTTCAACTACTTTTGCTGTTTGTGACAAGGACAGCAACAGCCACCTCCCGCCAGTGCTGATGGCTTGCAGGGATTACTTCCCTCTCTCTGCCTTCCTATGTGGGTTATAAGTGAATTGCAGGCCAGTCATCTACTGGGAAAGCTGGCGTCTGAAAGTATCTCAAGGATACCCTCAGGGCTGGAGGAGGGAGACAGAATAGATATGGGGTATTGTAGCTGAGCTAGGCAAGCTATCTTCCCTGTAGGTTGACTGGTGCTGACAGGGGCTGGAATCATGAGCCATGTAAGAAATAAAATAAGCTGTTTCTAATGTGTAGGGTTAAAAAAAAAAAGGAATTCATGCTTCTCTGTAAACTTACAGGACTGGACAGTGCCCAAACTCCGGTCACCTGTGGCAGTTTCCTTGTAGCTTAGAAGAAATTGCATCAGTCGGACTCCGTCACTCTGATGAGGAACAAAAAGATAAACCATGTTAAAAAAAATTAAACTGCTTATGCGTTTCTTTCCAGCTGCTGATGAATGATTGTGTGGTGTGGAAATGTCTATCTGCTTGTGTTGTGGGCAGCGGCTCGAAAGGTTCCCTAATGGCTGCCACCACTGTAGTATGGGTCTCCTCAGGGGGGACCAGAGCACCCACCCTACCCCTTTATACGCTCCTTTTCTAGTAGGTTTCCCCTTATAAGAAACCAAATGTGGTGTAAGGACCCAGGCAGAGTAACCAACTGTTGTTAAATCTTTTTAACAAAAACTGTAGTTCAATAACATGTAGGAAAAATGAGCACAGTAAAGGTAGGCAAACCAGCAAAATAAGAAATCCTAACACATCTGACTATACTGCCCTAGCCTTGTCTAGATATTTGCCTCAAACCTACTCACCCCTTTTGGACGAGGGACCCCTCCTTCTGCAGCAGCCTCACCAACTCTGCTCCCTGGGAATGAACCCCCTTCTCACTTCGGGCAAGGCCTTTTATTCCTTCTTCCCAGGCACCACCCTCTACTCCTCTGCTGGTGTGTTTTCCCTCCAAAGCCCCTGTTAACTAGTCACAGGATCCAGAGGGGACCTGGGAAATGCAGGCCCTGATAGCAACACTAATATAGGTTTCCCTGGAGCCACTAGGCCTCCCTAGAGCCTGTAGGCCACACATCTGTAGGCCTAGGATCACGACAGCTTGTCTAATGCATAATTATCTTCTTGCAGCATTAAGCCAGCAGTGGGAAGTTGATTATCTGAAATTTATTATCAGACTTTTTCTGTCATACACCACTGTTCACCTTGTGCTTTTATTCACTTTTGCCAGTGTTCGATTTCTTTACATTTTTAAAAAGGTTTTGAGTGAAGGCGAGATCACAGATCGTGTAGATCATATCCCTTGCCTTAGATCAGACATGACAGACGTATGGCCTGGGGGCCAAAAGTGGCCTGCCCGGGGCTCTTATCCAGCCTGTGAGCAACCTTGATTGTCAGGCAATAAGGTCTCTGTGCTGTGCAAAACAAAGGGTGGTTAGTTAGGTGCTAATAGTTAGGTGTGGGTCACGATTAGTAAAATATCTTCATTATGTTTTATGGTACACACGGCCCGACCTGACAAAGGGACATATATTACACTAAATACAACGGGATCCCAGAGATACTGAATACAATAACAAAAACAAAATACACTGTGAAGAGCACAACTTACTCAAGGTCAGATAACATTAAAGCGCAACTTAAAGGCATATGTCCCAAATACAGTTAATGAAAAAATCATGCATAGAGATTGGAATGTAAATCCTTTAGTATGATCCACATATACTTATTACTTATGAAAGCACTAAGGCTTTGAAACAAATACACAAGTGTAGAGATGTGAAGACCCGGGAAAAAACCGGAAAAATTCTTTTTTTGTTTTTTTCCAACAAATTGAAAAAAAAAAGAAAAGAAAAAAAATTGATTATGGAACATTTTATTTTAACATGTTGAATAAAATATTTTAAGATAAGTTGTTCAAATACCATATATATGGTATCAGATTGATCTAATTTTTGTGCACTGAGGACAAGCAAGTCCTAGGTTACAAACTGAACTCTCCAATGCAAGAACAAGATGCATTTCTTCCTTTAGGAGGTGCGATTGTTAGAAGAAAATAAAAAGGTTTCAGTTTTGGTTTTGCATGTGGGTGGGTATTCTGTTTGTAATAATTGTTTGGATACACTATATTTTTAATATGCTATTGTGATAATTTCATGCCAAGTAAAAATGTCCATAGTCATATTTTATGTTCCTAACAAAATGACTTTCAATCTAGAAAAGACAAAAGAAATGTTAATGTAGGATTTTTTCATTTTTTCCGAAAATTTCTGTTTCCCCCCGAAAAAAACTGGAAAAAAAACGGTTTTTTTTCCGCGCTTCAAAATTTCCGGAAATTTTACATCTCTACACAAGTGCAAGTATACACAAAGAAACTTTCCTAGAGCAAGACCAGTAAACCTGCTGTGAGCAGTCCTTGGAAACAACTGTTATCTTCTTTACTACTTCTTAATTTCCAGGCTTTCAGGTCTGCAGAGAGGCTGAGAAAACTGGCTGATGTCTCTTGTCGGCCACGAAAGTTTCGATTATTCTTCTTCAGAGCCAATGTATTTTTATGCAACTAATACAAATAACAAAATAAGCAAAGCATCTTGTATGCAGATATTCAGAACACACTTCAAACCTTGTTACAAACAATCTGAAGCCTGATTTACCCACAAAGTTTACATATTTTGCATGCCTTATCACACTCCCACATGGGCTCAGTTGCACTCCTTTCGGCAAAGTGGTTCTCAAATACATAAACTCAGCTGGCATAGTTAAAGCTAATAACACCCGAATTGTTTAAAGTCACAGAATGCATTTAAAGTCAGAGTACATTTAACACAAAAAAATTAAAAATTAAATAAGAGAATAAGTCAAGTTCATTATTCAGACCATAAGGTGAAAAAGTTCTGGATTCTAAGATATACCTTGCTCTCCACGGTGTATTTTGTTAAACTGACATTTATGTCAGATCTGGCCCTTATAACAAATGACTCTGCCTTAGATAGTTTGTTATAATTCATTTTTGTATTGTTTGTCGTATAGCTTGCCCTAAATAATTTGAATTGTTTTCCAATCCCAGTCCAATTGTTTTATTCTGTCCGATTGTACTGTTTTATATCCTGTAATCTGCCGAGTCTCAGCGAGAAAAGATGATGATAAAATAAATAAATATGTAAAAATTATGAAGTTGCTGTTGAGATTCAGGATCAAGAGTAGGGTTGCCAGTAGGGGTGTGCATTTGGCAATAGCTGAACCGAAAAAATACCTGAAAAATACTTCGGGTATCACATAAGCCAAGTACAGATCAGAGATCTGTATTCAGCTACTGGTATAGCTGAACCTGAAAAAGCCAATATCATCCAGCTTTTGGGGGGGTTCATTCTTCTATACAAGGAGTCAGTTAAACCTAACAGCCTTGAGCTGCCAGTCAGCTGTTGAGTTTAAATGTTAAATATTAAACATGCCTGGGTTCCTTGCCTGATCTTCTCCAGGCACCAATGTTCCCTCTAAGCTGTGGAGTCTTGCGAGCAAAAATTCTATTTTGTGAGCTACCGGCATCAAAGTTGTGAGCAAGTGATTTGGCTGCTGCATAAATCAGTTTGCTCTGGAGCCCTCCTTCCTGAGATAAGACAAAAATGTGTGAGCCGGAGGCTAAAAAACTGAGCTAGCTCACACTAACTCAGCTTAGAGGGAACACTGCCAGGCGCCCCTTCGCTTCCCCAGCCAGCCTGCCACGGTCTTTCTCGAAAGCTTATGCTACCATAAAGTTTGTTAGTTTTAAAGGTGCTACTGGGCTTTTTACTATTATGATCTTTAAAATGACATTGACTGCAGGGGAAATGAGTTTAGGAAACCCAGAGTTACCTACTGAATAAAGAATATTTGTGTATTTTGGCCCTTTGAAAGCTTGATTTGTGCCATGGAAGGAAGGGGGGAGAATGCTGATTCAGGAATCAAGTTCACAGAATGCTGCTTTAGAGAAGAAACAGAAGCCCATTTCTGTTAAGAATCTCATTACTAGGACAGGAAGGGAAGAATAAGCACTCCATCCATCTATCCATCCAGCTAGCCCACATGATTAGATAAACAGAAAGATAAAGAAATAGGAACATGGTTAGATAAAGAAACAAGAATCATAGAATCATGGAGTTGGAAGGGGCCATACAGGCCATCTAGTCCAACCCCATGGTCCATGCAGGATCAGCCTAGAGCAGGGGTGTCAAACATGTGGCCCGGGGGCTGGATCAGGCACCCGGAGGGCTTCAATCAGGCCCACAGTGGAACTGGCTGTATTCTGCTTCTTCTTTCAGTTCTGCTGCTGCTGCGTCATCATAGGTTTGCAGCTTACAGATACACACCTGAACAGCATACTCATGATTGCAACAGCACAGACATTTTGATGCAATAATTCAGTTACATCATTTAACTGAGAATGTTGGGATCTAAACTCCATATTGCTTACATTCGTTCCAAATTTCCTCTTGTATACTTAGGTGTGCCATTTCTCCAAAGAGTACGTTGTTGGTACTACAGTGCATTAGCGATTGTGTGGAAAATTCATGTCATGGAATAAACATCATAAGGATCATCCAAATGCTTTCATAAATGTATGCTGGGGGTGGGAGATCAAGAAATTCATTTCACAATTAAAAGTCCCACTAAAGGGATTTAAAAATGTTAAGTAAAGGTCAGTGATCTTGCGACACACACCAAGGTTCTGGTTCTAATTCATGTAAGCACTTGTCAAGGAGGCTGGAATTCATTCAGAATTATTTAATCAGGGCTAAAAACAGTATACTTTTTGCTAGGGTAAGCAACTTGTTGGCCTCAAGTGATGAAAACAGTGCAACATTTACCTATAAATATTTTGGTGTGTCAGCAAATATAATGAGAAGGGGATATGGGGGTAGTAGTTTACCAGACACACTTGGAGCTATCCCAATCCCAGCGGCCCTGCAAGTATCTGAGGGGTTCACCTTGGGCTTGGTTGGTGGCTGTAGGGGTCTGGGAGGCAATGATGGGAATAAGTCATGCCAGTTGATTTCTCCCACATCATTGGCCCCAGCAGTGCTGCTGGTACCTTGGTTGCTTGTGTGGAGATGTAGCCCCCAGGGCGCCAAGCAAAATAGTCTGCTGTGTCATTGTCAGCACACATGGTGGAAGTTACCTACTTGTTTTATATGCTGAGTACAATAAGCTGATAATTGTTGATCACCTGGACTGATAATGTTTCATGAAAAATCTGAAAATCGTTATCTATATCTATACCTGTATCTATATTTATACATGTCTTTGCTTTATTTTTTACTATGATAGGTGGTGAAATTTACCAAATCATTCGAGCTGATGTCTCCAAAGTGCAGTGCAGATACTGAGAACAGGTTAGATGTCACATTCTTATATTGCAGTTGTTCATTTTGTTTAATTAGTTAGTTATGTATAAAAACATGTACATCCCACCTTTCCTCTTGGTTCAAGGCGGCTTACAATAACCCTTAGTTAAAGCAAAATATAACGCAACAAGCCTCAAAGAATTTATGAAAACTCTTCAGTTATTGGATTAAGTACTATCCATGGAAAGCTGGACTCTGAATCCCAGAGCCAACATCAGGGGAAGGCCTTGACCTCTATGCTCTGTTGTTGGCTGTCCAGAGGAGCTGGTTGGCCACTGTGTGAGACAGGATGCTGAACTAGATGGACCATTGGTCTGATCCAGCAGAGCTCTTCTTAGTTTTATGTTCAACGTTATTCATTTATTTTTTCTTTTTAAAGAAAAGCCCAAATTTAGGGCCTTTCTGTATGATATGTTTATTATACATTTGCTGTACACACATACATCTTCCCTTAATTATTTGCTTCTTTTGCAAAAATGTTGAACATTTTGATTATCTGAAATTACACTGTGTTGTAACTGAGAAAATATAACAACCCCCCCCCCCAATTAGCACACTATTAGTAATGTGGTTACTGTGCAAAATGTAGTTTTGCCAGAACCACAAACTCCTCTCAGATATTGTTAGTGGTGTTATAAAAGATTTTTAAAAAATTAATTATAATCCAACATGGTTTCCCTCTAGGCCATTGATCAGATCCACATGCATGTAAGTTCTGCAGTTTTGCAGCAAAACATGGTGTCTGTCCGTTTCATTGTGCCGGCTCATGTGGTCTGCCACTCCCTGCTCACACCATTTCATTTCTTTGGTTTAATTTTGGGTTCTCCCCCCCCCCCGCCCAGTTTTCAAAATCACCATTATTTGCCATCTTTAAAAATGATGCTTTCTTTACCGGAAAGCCTCAGCGGAGGATTGCTTATCAAGCTCCGGTATACCTTGGCAATCTACAAGTAATATGGTAATATTCTTACCAGTTCAAGAAATAGTCAGATTCACAGAGGTCAATTAGTTTGCAGCATTCAGATTTTATTACTGGTCCTAGATACATGCATACATTATATTTATTTGTATTATAATGGGGGGGAAGGTGATAAAGGTTACATGAAATACAAAACAAAAGGTGTGTATAGGTGGTTCATAGACCAATATCAAACAGTGCTATGAAAACTGGTATTATAAATTATAAGGCTTAGATGTAACATGCCTATAGTTTTCTGTCTTGACCATGAGATCTTAGTGGTAACCCCCCCCCCCCCCTTTTTACCCCCCCCCCATTTCTAATTGTACGGTAACCCACTGTATCCCATGAACCATATGTGAGGAGAGCTGTTTAGACCAGTAAAAAAGGAAGGGAAAAAATAGTTGAGTTACTACTCTCAGAAGACCAGATGTACATTCCAATCCTATGCATGTTTATAACGAAAGCAAACCAGCACAATTACTATTATTAGGTGTTATCAGAATACATGATTGACAAATTTGCCCACCTGTAAAGTCTCAGGAGAGTGTAATTACTTGAAGACCCTTGCATGTATGCTCATCCATGACAAAAAATAAATAAATAGATTTTAGATCGTTTTTACAAAGAACTGTGCAAATTAACAGAGAATGGTGATTTTATATGTGTGTGTGGACAGAGATAAAAAAAGAAGTTTGAGAGACTGAGAGAGCAGGTTTCTAGGTAGTGTTGCCAGGTATGGGTTGGGGAAAGCCTGTAGATTTGGGGGGCGGGGAACCTGGGGAGGGTGGAGTTTGGGATGAGGAGGGACTTCAGTGGGGTATAATGCCACAGAATCTGCCCTCCAGAGCAGCCATTTTCTCCAGATCTTGGTTATCTGGAGATCAGTTGTAATAGCGGGAGATCTCTATGTGCCACCTAGAGGCTGGCAAACCTGTTTAAATGGGGCTTAAATGGGGACTCTCCCAAGATGGAGAGGAGCAGGAGGAAGAGTGGGTAGGCCGCCATTTTCTGGCAATGTCAGTTCTTCCCATCCCATATTTCTTCCTTAGCTTAGGCATACAAGTGGGTTAGGCTGTCCCTGTGCTCAAGGGTGCTGGCCTCTCCCCATACCTGGGCATCTAGGCAGGCTCCCCCCTCCGCCCCCCAATTTAGCTGAAGTACGAACTAGGATGTGTAGGATGGTGGCAACTGACTGAGAAATTTTGGTTCAGTCGAAGGGGTCCAAATAAATAAAACTGTGTTCAATAGAAACAAAGTATTTATCCAGGTCACTATGGTCAAGAAAGTATCCCTACAAAAGTTGAAAACACTGAACATTTTACGGGCAAAAGCATAAGCATATATAGGCAAACGGATATCAGGATCTTGTGGAACTGTTACACCAATTACACAATGAAAAGTCAATACTGCACCAAATCTAAACCAATAGAAAAGCAGTCTATACTTCCTTCATAACATACTTTCAAGAATACTATTACCTTATCCGTGGTACTCTACAAGTGCAACAGAAACTGTGGACCACTATAGTTTTAGAGCCCTGCATTGCAGAAAAGCTATGAAAATTACATTTAGTTATTTATCACATTTGTACTTCACCGCTTCCACCAGCGTGTTCAGGACAGTATATAAGAGGACAGTATATAAGAGGTGAGGTGGGAAGGCGTTTATCCCACTTCTATCCTCTTGGAAATCTTGTGAAGCAGGTTCAAGTGATATATAGAAGGTGACCTGTTTATACTGCATGTCTGAACAGGTACTGTTGGATCTCTAGTTTCCCAGTGTAAATCTGGCACATGGTCCTCTTACAGCAGACTAAGTTTTTTAAAAAAATGTAAAATGGTTTATCTGCAGTGCTGCCAGCCTCCTCGTTTGATGCTCCCAGGATAATACGAAACATGCCCATAAGTATGTGGACCCTCTGAATTTTCTAGAAAATCTCTTTCTGCCATCCATTAGTTTACAACAAATAGCTGAATCCCACTAATAGGCAGACTTTTCCCTATGTAAATCCAATAAGGTCCCTCAAGAGATTAGCTGCTAGAAATAAATTTGCTGGAGATGCCGACAGCCTCCTTTTAGATCTTCTGCTAGAATGATTCCTTGCTTTGTCAACTTGAATTTATTTGCTGCTTCCAAATACTTGTCGCACATAATCTAGCGCTGATTTAATCAGCCCCTCGTATAATAATAATATCCAGATCTTAATTGGTGCTGTGCGCTTTAAATCATTTCCTGCTTCCATGATGGATTTTGCAAGATGCCCAATTATGAGCCTGCACCTCGGTAATTGGAATCTTGCCCTCAAAGACTCTCATCCTCTCAAGTTCATGAGGTTGCTGAAATAAATCTTGAAATATTTAACCAGATTTTGCATTTCCACATTTTTATGCTTAGGTTTTTAAACTGCCATCGAAGCAAATACGGCTTAACTTATTTATTGGGTTCACTGACAACAACATGAGTGAAAATTCTTAGTTTTTCTGCTTTTCTGTTTCTTTTTTAAAAAGTTTTATTTACAACTTTGTTGAACACTTATGGACTTTCCCCCTTTTAAATGGAGAATGTCTGTGGATGTCAGCACGTGGAGAAGTCCACAGTTAACAAAACCATTCCCTTTATTGTGATTTGTTGCTGATTCTTTTTTCTTTCCATCTTAGTATGCTTTACTCTGGAGCTGGTAATCACAGTATTTTATTCAAACTAGTCAGAGAGGTTCTTTCATTTTTCTTAAATTATTTTATTGCTTATGACTTAAAATACTTGCTAAATGTCGCTTCCCCCCCCAATATTTACATAATAGCGCATTGTTTAGGCCCCCGCCCCCCTTTGCTTCTGTTGAGTCAGGAGACATTCAGACTTTGGAAAAGGGGCTATTGGAGGTGAATTCCTTGCTTCCTTGTCCTCATCCTCACCCACAAATTAGTTAAACTAAAATATTTTGATTTAATCCATTTTTATTCTGTTACAGACTCTGGAGCAAATAAAGTTACAGTTGAGATACTTCTGTGCAACAGATTTGTGAACAGGGCTGCCTTATGACGTTGCTTAAGTAAAAAATTCTTTAGCCGTCTTGGTTGTGAGAATGAAATGGTGCTGGTGCTAACATAAGAAGGGAAATCTTTTTATTGCACCTTTGCCAGTACTGTTGACATTCCTCTTTATTCAAAGGTAGCATAGGTCCACACAAATTTCAGTAGGCCTCTCCTGTATTGTCCCTCTCCTGTACAGGGAACACAAATGGAATTTAAGTATCTGCATTACTACCTTCTTTATTTCTGGACTTTTGTATAGTCATGGGGAAGTCACGCATGGTAACCTGCTAGAGATGCCTGAAGTTCATTCCTCAGCAGACGGCCTTTTGAGATACCTACAACATCTAGATTTATATGTAGACTTCTGTTATAAAACCAGCCTGCCTGTTATTCTGTCCTTAAAGCCATTGAACTGTTCTGAATTTGTATAGATGTGAGGCTATGCTAGCCAGACTTATAGATAAATAGACTTATGCAGAAGGGCTTTCATACAGCAGTGACTATCCTCTTTTCTTCCTTTGCTGTGCTTTTGTGATAGTTTGAAAGACAGCATGGAGAAACCATCATCATCTTATTCCGACTGGCTAGTAAATAGTAGCATTGCTGAACTCGTAGCTTCCACGGGCCTCCCAGTGAACATCAGTGATGCATATCAAGATCCTCGCTTTGATGCAGAAGTAAGATATCATCTACCTGTTTAAACACACAGTTTTTGTATCCTTTTGAAGCTCAAAACCATGGACTCTGTGACCTTGGTCATGATCCTGATCATGCTTACAAAGTGCTCTGCTGGCCAAAGGCTCGTGTTATCAATGGATGGGCAGTGTATATGCAGGAAAAAATTACCTCTCCTTTATTCTGGACATATTTTGCTGTCGAGTGTGTCCTCCATTTGGTTTCGTCACTGACACATATGTGCCACTAGTGGCTACATAGCCACAGCTAAGTAATCAGCTGGTTAATTCACATCAGTATGTGAAACGCTGTGCTATTTCTACTCTTGATCACTTTAGGCTTATCAGTTTAATGGTAGTGAATGGTAGTCTGGCAAAATACCTCCATTTGGACTCTAGGTCCTGCATTCGGCTGGCTCTTTGACGTATAGTTCCTTGCCCTGTGAACTCCTTGCCTGGTTGCCTAACAGTGCACAGCCCCTTGAGATCTTGTGCACCACTTTTCTGCTTCTTTCTTGCATCCTCATTCATCAACTCTATGCTGGCCATGTCTCTTGCTTTTTAGGCCACTCAGTAATTTGTACCTTCAGCTATGCTGTCACTCCACAAGCCTTTCTCACACCCCTCTCTCCTACTCAGAGCATAACAGCCCTTCTAGACCTAAAGTGTGATGAGGTTTATTTTAGAGCTTCCTTTCTCATCAGCTCCTTCCTTCAGTTCTGTGTCTTCTCTGCCTTTTCACAAGCCCTGTCCTCTGCCTTCACCTTCATTCAGGTTCCTCTTCCTCAGTCCATTGCCTGCTTTACCTTCTTCCTAAGGCTTCCCTCACCTCTCCGCTTCTTTCTCCCTCACTTGCCTGTCTCCTGGAGCCACTTTCCAGCCCTCAGTCTGCTCCTCTGTGAATGCAAGTCATGCTAATAGTTGCTCCTTCCCTCATAAAACTAGGCTATAAATAGCTGAGTCCCTGAATGGAATGTTCAAAGCCATTATATGTACACATGAAGCGGCCTTGTATTGTGTAAGCTCATTGGTCCCTCTAAGTCAGCATTGTCTACTCCTATTGGTGGCAAAAGGTACTTCCCGGCATCTGCTACCAATTTTCTTTTTACTGGAGGTGCCAAAAATTTTGCCCTTATCACAGAGCATAAGCCCTCCAGCTCAGCCTATTAGTATGGTAACATGCACTGACCCATTCAAGGCACAATGTAGGGCTTTCCCACATTCTCATTTTCCTCACTTGTCAGTTCCTGTTTCTTTGGGTTATTTCACTGTTCTAAATGCATTTTGCTCCCTCTAGTGGTCAATTCAATATTACACTGGTCTGTCCAGTGTATCTCCCTTCAGATTTAATTTGCAGGGCTTTATGCTGGATATAAACCAGTGTAATATCAAATCAACCACTACAGGGAGCAAAACATGCATGGACTAGAACCCCTTCCAAAGAAACAGGAACTTTAGGGTTGCCAGGTGAGGCTGATAAGTGGGCGGGGGCTTTACCAGGGAACTCCCAAGCGAGTTCTGGATGAGCTGCTGTCACATTTAAAGGGACCTCATTCCTTTTAAATGTTTTTCCTCCATTGGAAATAATGGAGAATGGGGGCACCTTCTTTCATAGGGTATAATGGAGCACCCAGCAGCTATTCCCCCCCCCCACTTTCTTATAGCCCTGAAATGGGGGGAGGGGCTCCAAACCTAAGGATCCCCTGCCCCCAACTGGGGATTGACAACCCTAAGGAACTTATAAGTGAGGAAAATGAGAATGTGGAAATGCCCATCGATGGCTGATAATAGAAACAGGGTTAGCTAGGGAAGATATGCTACAGGACACACTTAGAGCAGGCCCAAAACAGCCAAAGACAGTGAAAATGTGTCCAGTGACTGACCCCACACTTCACTCACTAATGTAGCCTCAGAAAGGCAAATAGTCTTGCCTTTCTGAGGCAAAATAATCTTAATTTTCTTAGGCAAATGGTCTCCCTTTCCTTAGCTGTAAGGCAAGGGTGACAACAGTGTACTTTTTAAAAGTCTTATGAAATTAAGGTGAGACTGACCGTAAGTGGAGGAAGGCCCCCTTTATTTTCATTAACTTTATTCTTAGACTTCTTCATCCTTAGACTTTAGGGCATTTTGGTTTAAATGACAGTTTAAAGTTGTTATAGATAAGTAGTATCTGGCCTGTGAATGAGATAATATCTGGAGGTCCAAATCTGGAAAAGTATAAGGAGTTGAGTGGGAGTTTAACATACATCCCCTGAATCACCTTAGATAATATTTGTCATATTAGTACATTCTCTTCTGAGAAGGCAACGGCAGTGTACAGGGAGTTACCGTATTCTATATTTTACAAGGCCTTGGTTTCTAAAAGCTTTTCAAGGAATGCTTCCAAAGTCACCTTTTTTTTTTTTTAAAGGACCAACAAAACATAGGTTTCAAATAAACCCACAGGACCAGTTCATGGGGAAAATGCTGGAATTAATTTATTCTACTTTTGTGAAAGTACAACTAATGCTTAGGGAATATCCCTTGTTGAAAGCTATGCAGAAGAAAATTATGCTGTTCTCTTGCTGCATCTGTAGTAATGGTATTAATGTATCGTGTCTTGATTAATATATAATTCAGCTAACTCATATTTACTTCATGCTTCCTTAAAGTCTGCATTAATGAAAAAATGCCACCTGAACTTTCAGGGAAAAACAAATGATGTAGCACATGAAGCAGAAGAGGCGATAATTACACTTGTAGCACAATGTCATAGACATTTACAGTGTAGTTCTTCTGTATTCTTGGTGCTTGGGGGGAGGCAACAGTGGGAGGGCTTCTAGTGTCCTGGCCCCACTGCTGGACCTCCTGATGGCACCTGGTATTTTTGGCCACTGTGTGACAGAGTGTTGGACTGGATGGGCCATTGGCCTGATCGAACATTGGCTTCTCTTATGTTCTTATTGTAAATACATCTTTTAAAATATTCCGCTCTTCAAACCTCTTTTCAGTGATTTGTTTATTTATGACATTATTAGTTATCCTTCCATCACTGGCTTAGGGGAGCTTGCACCAGAGTTAAAATCACAATTGACACTTTGCACAAACCAGTTTAAAAATTAACACGAAGGTAGAAAAAGTAGCCCTACAACAAACATCTTTAACTCAGGAAGTAATTAGAAGGGAAATTAGCAAAGTTTAATCTGAAGGGCCTGTTAAAAAATACAAATGTCTCCTTAACTCTGTGTTTTGACTTAGTCCATGTTTGGGTAACATTGTCATACACATACTCAGACTTATTTTGTGGATCTTTCATCGGATGGAATGAAACATGTTCTCATTAGTTATAATATACACCATGGACATGGGGTACTTGCTCTGAAAATAACTCTGATTCTCTGTATTCCTTCCACTCCACACTTCCTAAGGGTGCTTTTATAACTGTAAAGCAAGGGCCCTTCAGTCAAAAAATGGTATATAATTGAGACCAAATAGGCCCTGAGCCTGTTCGCGGGGAGGGTGGGGTATAAATTAAAACAATAAATAAATAACTAAATAAGGAGAAAGCAGAAAATGAGAATGTCATTGCTATGTCATGACAAGCACTGAGTGTCTCTGAAACTGCAAAGACATCAGAGTATATCATATTTCAGCCTTGACAGTTCTGTATCAGTCAGTGCAAATTTTTATTTGTCTAGGTGCCTGTATTTGCAGTTCTGAAGTCATTCATTTACATATCTTATAAGCAGGGGTCGTTTCGTAGAAAAAGCGCTAGGGGAACTCATTAGCATAATTCATTAGCATATGCCACACCCCCTGACATCACCGGAAGTGTGTCATAAGGCCACACACCCCACCCCCAACGGTCCCGGCCGCCGCCGCCGGCCTTGCAGCTCCACTGCCGAGCCCCATGAGGGGCCGGCGGTGGACCTGCAA